TCTTATTTTAATCTGTTTTCACTGGCTTCCTCTGACACTGTAGGCGAAGGTGTGGGAGGCAGGGTGGTGGTGGCAGTGAGCTGCCTCGTCAGCGCCAAGTGGGGGTGGGAGTCCAGGCCTCTCACTTAACCTCTGTTGACATCAGGGGCGGGGGTCTCCTTCTTACTGCTGGGTGGGAGGAGAAGTTCAGCCCACTGCCTCGTGCTAGGCCTCCGCTGATAGCGCCCCCATGGGGAGGGGCCAGAGTGCTTCGTTGCCATTCCCCATGTGGCCTTGTTGCCCCTGAGAGGCGAGAGTATCCTGACTCACCACTGGGCCTCCCAGATGGCGCCCGCACTGGGCAGAAAGGAGCCCCTTGTTGCTGTGTGTGGGGATAAACGTCTAGGCCCGCGATGAGGTCTGCACTGACCCGGGGGAGGAGCCTGTTACACGGGGTAGGGAGGAGAGTCGTAGCTCCCTGCTCAGTGTTCTCAGATACCACCCTGGGATGGGCGGCAGATAGGGTGGTTTGGGGCACCCAGTTTCAGCCTGGTCATGAGGATGGATGGACAACTGAGCTCCCCATGGCCTTTGCTGACTGAACCCGGGTCTCCTGCATTGCAGGCAGATTCTTCACTGTCTGAGCCACCAGAGAAGCCTGATGATGTAGTTTCTATGATGTTTGGCAAAAGTGGAACAGTTATTGCCTAGAACTTTTCTTTCTTAGCGGGCTGCCCTTTTCCAGGCTCTTTGGCTAGAGAGAGCAGGACCTTGTGGGGACTTCTCCTGTGTCTGCTCTCTTTTGGAATATGAGTTCCCAGCTTCTTCAGTGCCTCGTCTGAGATACACGAGACAAAAAGAAACCAGAGATCTCACCTCTCTGTTCCACTGGTCCCAAGGTTCCTATTAGTCTGTCTTTTCTCTATTTTCTAGAATCCGCTTAATGTTTGTTTTGTATATTATATCTGGGTATTTAGTTGTTGAGAGCAGGAGAAATGGATAAGTATGTCTGTTCCAACTTCCTGGAAGAGAAAGTCCTCATCTCACTTTTGGGATGCATTTATAAGTTGCAAAGATTCACTCTTAAATACCTCAGCCTATGTATTATTAATTATAGTTCAGTATTCATAAGAGGCACGGGTTCAATCCCTGGATTGGAAAGATCCACTGGAGGAGAGCATGGCAACCCACTCCCGTCTTGCTTGGAGAATCGCATGGACAGAGGAGCCTGGTGGGCTACAGTCTATAGGATTATAAAGAGTCAGATACAACTGAAGTGACTTAGCATGCATGCATGCACATTTGCTTATATCTTTCTAAGTTAAACATTGTACAAACATGAAAAAGTAGAAATCTTAGTGGACCATTTGATGACCATAGCCCACCCTCTGTCAAGATATAGAGCTGATCCGTTATCTGAGAAATTCCCTCATACTCCTTCTCAGTCAATCCTTGTTGTCAATCACCCCCCAGAGGCAAACATTGTTGTGTTTCTTCTAACATCCTAAATTAGTGTTATTTGTTCTAGAATGTCACATGGATAGAAGCATGCATCAGACACTCTTATGTGTTTGGCTTTCTTCTTTCAACATGATATTTTGAGATTTATCTGTGTTTTGTCCTTCATTCTGTTTTACTGCTGAGCTATATTCATTCCATCACATGAATATACCACAGCTTGTTGATCCATCCTCCTATTGATGGACACCTGAGTTGTTTCTAGGTTTTGGCTGTTTTAAATCAAGCAAAGGAGAATGCTTTTAACTTGGAGCATATATTTTTTTAATTTTTTATTTAAAATTTTAATTATTTATTTTTGGCTGCCTGTGCATGGGCTTTCTCTAGTTGTGGCAAGTGGGGGCTACTCTCTAGTTGCCCCCATCTTCCCAGACCAGGGATTGAACACCACATTGGCAGGTAGATTTCTAACCACTGGACCACCGAGGAAGACCAGGAGCATATTTTTTAATGGTCTGAATCAACCTTCATCTGAATGCAGGGTCATATTTGAAAATGTCACCTACAACTCTGACATGCCAATTTTTATAGTTTTCTGAAACGATGTAAAGTATCATTCTCTCATTCGTTTGTTTGTTGAACCACTATTTAGCAAGCCTGTTCTCTGTGCCAGAGATGATGGTAGGCCCTGGGATTAGTGAGTAGGAGGACAGACTGAGGTCTCTGCCTGTGAGCTGGTACTCTAGTGAGGGCAGAGCGGAGGCACAGTAAGCCAAACGAGAAATAGACATATAGCATCCATCAGCAATGTGTGCTCTGAAGGAAGAATAAAGCCAGGTCCATGGGTGGAGGAGGCAGATGGGTGGCCCAGGGGTAGGTGGGTGTTATTTTTAACTCTGGAGGTCAAGGGAGGACCTTAGAGGAAGGCAGGGGGAATAGTTGGAGAAGGTGAGGTTTGAAGACACATGACCTTTTAAAAAAAACTGTTTTATCTAAATTATTTCTTAAATCTTTAGCCATACTGCGTGGCATGCAGGATCTTAGTTCCCCGACCAGGGATGGAACCCATGCCCCCTGCAGTGGAACCATAGAGCTGCTAGACCGCCAGGGAAGCCCAGGACTTTTTTTTTTAAGTCTGTGTCTTTTAAGCACCTTCATGCCTGGGAATTCATGCACTTCAGAAAAGACTTCTCTGTCACTATTAGAGGGTGGGGAGATCCAAGGCCCCGAGGGGGCAGTGGGCCAATTATGTCACAGGGACTCTGGACCAGCCAGACTAGAGGTGCTTGCCCACTGCCTGGGCGTTGACGAGCCGACCTTCTTAGCTTCCTGAGGGGTGCTTTCAGCCTCCCCAGCCTCTCTGCCCACCCCTCCCACTCCTGCAGGTGCTTCCCCAGGAAGTGTTAGCATGGAGTGAGAAAGCCACCGGCAGCCTGAGGTCTGGGGCTCTTCTGTCTGTGCGTCCTTGAGCAAACCTTCTCCTCTTGCTGGGAGGTTCAAGTCAAGTTGGTGGTGTGACACCACCCCCCGCCCCCACTGTCCTCCTCCCCTCACCAACGTTGTCACAACACACCCTCCTGTGCACGCATGGGCCGGGAGCGCTTTCTACTTTATCTTGTTTAACTCACACACCCACCCTGTGGGTAGTTGCTCCATTCTTACCCATGGGAAATGGGAGCGGGGCATTTGCTGAGGCCAAAGCAGAATGCTAAGCTGAGTGTGTCTGATCCTAACCAGAATGCTTTGAGCTACTGCGTTTTACTGTTAACTCAGTTCTGAACAGAGGGAACTCTTGCCCTTTGGGGATATGAGTTTGCAGAAGTCAGAGGGAAGGATCTGGAAAAAAGCTAAAGGGATGTTTCCAGGGGAGGGTTGGGGTGGGGTGGACCTGCGTGGGTCTGAGAGAAGCCTTGTGTGGATCTCCATGTGGAAGGTGGGGAAGAATGGGGAGTTCGATAGGAAGGAGCTGGGACTCAGAGCTGGAAAACCCTGAATTCCAACCCAGACTCCACACTAATGCCATGGATGGTGGGATTTGGGGCAAATCCTGTAAATCCTCCAACTTCCCCTTCCGCATCTGTAAAATGGATAATGGTATCTCTCTCTCTCCAACGTTGCTGGCTGGGACTGATGAGGAGACACATGTAAAGTGTGCAGAAGGTGCCAGGCTCACAGTAAATGCCCAGTAAATGCTGGCTGGCTTGGCTAAAAAGCGGCAGCACTACAGACTCACTCGACAGTGTTCAACGCCGGGAAGCAGTGCGGTGAAAGCAGGGCTTGCGTCTTACCTGGGAGTGGGGAAACCTGGCAGCCCCCAGATGCTTGCAGGAGGACGCCTGCAGGAACCGGGGCTTCCTGCGTCAGGGGCATGAGTGTGCTCTGGGTTGTTTTCCAGCCTGAAGTTGTTGCTTAGTCCTTAATCATGTCCGCCTCTTCGCAACCCCACGGACTGTAACCCACCAGGCTCCTCTGTCCATGAGATTCTCCAGGCAAGAATACTGGAGTGAGGGGTTGCCATTTCCTCCTCCAGGGGATCTTCCCAACCCAGGGATCAAACCTGTGTCTCCTTCCTTGGCAGGAGGATTCTTTCCCATTGAGCCACCAGGGAAGTCCTGTCCAACTTGGAGACGTCCTGTCCTTTCAAGTCTTCCTACTGTAGCAGCGGCAGCTCCAGCGAGGGAGGGCGCAGCAGCTTCTGTTGGCTCCCAGACACCAGCTGTGGTCTCTGGGAATGTGTTTATCCAGCCCAGAGGGAAGTGGACGAGTGAGACGGGAGCGCCAGGCTTTCCAAACCCCAGCCTGTGAGCTCTGCACCGGCGGCACGGACACCCAGCCAAAGCAGCATCATGGCCGGTTAGGGCGCGCTGCGTGCTCACTGCATCAAGATGTATTTTGCAAACTTATTATAAACATATTACATTTCTTATCCTAATGTGGCTGTTGGCAAGCTGCCCGTGAGTTTTAGCCTCTGGGAGAAAAACAATTGCTTGAGCCAAGTGTTGGGTACTTTTACTTTCCATACGCTACTCAGGGCTCCTTGGAGCCCCTACTCCAACACACACACACACACACACACACACACACACACACACACACACGCTGCCCTTCATATAGATGTGCGATCGTGGGCCATTGGCCCCCATCTGCTGCTGAGATGTTCTTCCACCACATGTGTATCTGGGGATCCAGGACCTGCTAATATTTTGTGGCAATTTTTTTTTTTTTTCAGGAAAAGTCCTGAAAACATGTTCATGTTGAACAAACTCACTGACTTTCGCTTCCAAGCTCTTCTGCCGCCTCAGTTAAATACCTGAATAGTCCACTTTGTTAATTAGTCTTCAACATGCCTTTTATAAGGAGAGGGTGAGGCCAGGGAAGGGAGGTTATTTGTCCAAGGTCCCCAGCCATTCATCTCAAGGATTCTCCAGCGGGTTCCCCATAAACCATGACACTATTGTGAGGAGACCCTTTCAGCCACCACGACCATCTCCTTGAGGCCGCAGTCCAGAGCCCAGAGCTGATCACGATTAACTGCTGGGGATCTGAGACCCAGCTGGCCAGACATGTGGCAGGGAGCCCTGGGCAGTGGGGCCCCTTGCCCCTTCCTATCAGCCTGCATGCAGGTGACTTCAAGAGAGAAACGCAGTGTGGGTTTGCACCAAGCTCCCTGCTGCCTGCTCCACGCCCCTGGGGCTCCCCTCCACTCCCTCCAAGTCTTCAGTCCCCCCTCTTCCCCTCCCCACCCCGTCTCTGCCTCCTCTCTCTGTCTCCCTCTCCTTCCTCTCTTCCTCCCTTACCTTGTCCTAACCAGGAATGCCAGCAGCTGCCCCTGCTCAGCATGGCCCTACATTCCTCCTGAGCCAGAAAAGTGGGCACAGAACGGGTGCCCAGGCTGGGCCTCCGAGGGGCCCCACTTCAAAGGCACAGGAAAGAGGTCTGTTTCCCCGTCCACTGACAGGTCGGCTGATGTCTCGCCAGGCAGAGCCTCTGCCTGGGGAAACAGCCCTGTTGGCCACGCCGGGCACCTGGCTGTTTGATCTTGCACGGCAGGTGGCCGGTCTCTCGAGGCCTTTCCTTGTGTAAAACGGCTGATGAACCAGAAGGTGATTCTAGTCCCCTTCCGACCACGGAGCAGACATGTGCAGCTGCCTGGTGACTGCGTGGACACAGTGCACACGTGTGCACACTCGGCCCGTGTGCAAGGACTCACACACGTGCACATGCTCACAGACACATGCACACACACACTGGGTCACCCACAGAGGGGTGGCTTCACGCCTCTCACTCGGCCCTTCCTCAGCTCATCTGAAAGCAGAAAGACAAATGCGATCCGCTGATATGTGGAGTCCAAACAGAAAAAGATACAAGTGAACTTAACAAAGAGAGGCAGACCCACAGAGGGATAGAAAACAAACTTATGGTTACCAAAGCAGAAAGGCGGGGCGGGATGTACCGGGAGGCTGCATTAACAGATACACACGACCCACCACACATAAAACACAACCAGCAAGGACCTACTGTACGGCACAGGGAGCAGAGTGCTGAACAGTTTGTAACAACCTGTGTGGGAAAAACCTGCAGAAGGCTGTGTGTGTGTGACTGGATCACTGGGCTGTACATCCGAAGCTAACACAGCATTGTAAATACAATCCAAAAAAAGCCACATACTCTACAAAACTATAACAGAACATATAACCTAGTTATAAGATATATAGTCCAAAAAAGCCGCATACTCTACAAAACTATAAAAGAACATATAACCTAGCTATATAATATATAGTCCAAAAAAGCCGCATACTCTACAAAACTATAACAGAACCTATAACCTAGTTATAAAATATATAGTCCAAAAAAGCCGCATACTCTACAAAACTATAACAGAACCTATAACCTAGTTATAAGATATATAGTCCAAAAAAGCCACATACTCTACAAAACTATAACAACATATAACCTAGTTATATAATATATAGTCCAAAAAAGCCGCATACTCTACAAAACTATAACAGAACATATAACCTAGTTATAAGATATATAGTCCAAAAAAGCCACATACTCTACAAAACTATAACATAACCTATAACCTAGTTACATAATATATAGTCCAAAAAAGCCGCATACTCTACAAAACTATAACATAACATATAACCTAGTTATATAATATAATTTAAATACACACAATGATATACATGCTATATAGTATAATCTATATATAATATATATAATGTAATCTAAATATATATAATCTATATATATAATCTAATTATATAATATATAATCCAAAAAAAGCCACATACTCTATAAAAACTATAACATAACGTATAACCTAATTATATAATATAATTTAAATACACATAATGATATATATGCTATATAATATAATCTATATATAATATATAATGTAATCTAAATATATATAATCTATTTATAATCTAATTATATAATATATAATCTAAAAAAAGCCATATAATCTATAAAAACTATAAGAAAGATATAATCAAAATATCTTTTCCTGCTGAAAACAGATAAATGAATGAGTAACAAACAACAGTCTCTGTCTCTGGCTATTTGTACGTTTTAAGAACTAACCAGCCTCTCCCAGGATCTCTGCTGGAGACACCTGACAGCCAGCCTTGAGTGGGGCCCGAGGGAAGCCCTAAACAGATGCCAGCGCTTCCAGAGGGGTCCAGACAGCCCTCAACATCTGCACGCATCTGTGGGCGGTCTGCCAGGCCAGGAGGGCCGCGAGGACACCCGCCCTTCGCGGCGTTGCAGCTCCCACCAGCCTCTCGGCGGATGGACTCCGGGTACCCATCCCAGGAGCCAAGAAGCCGACTGCCAAGCCGGGCCCACTGGGGACTTGGCAGCAAGCCGCCACCCACAGCTGCGGGGATTCAGAAGACAGCAGCCGAGCCAGAGACCCGAGCGTGGTGACACGCGACAAAGCCCAGAGCCACAGCACACCCTGCCCCTGAAGAAGCTGTGGGGCCCTCCGTGGGCTCACTCCCCCTCAGGGTGCAGCATCAGTGAGACTTTGCTTCTGCTTGGGGTGCAGTGAGAAGAGCAGGTTGAAGGGCTTCATTTGAAACCTGCCCTGGGGAGAGGTCAAATATGGGAACATGGAGCTGTGAATGATGCCTTTGGTCCTGAACTTGTTCCGCATCTGTGGGCCCGCAGTACCTAAGTGTTAGTTGCTCAGTCGACTCTTTGTAACCCCATGGACTGCAGCCCTCCAGGCTCCTCTGTGCATGGGATTCTCCAGGCAAGAGCACTGGAGTGGCTTGCCATGCCCTCCTCCAGGGGATCTTCCCGACCCAGGGATCAAACCCTGGGTCTCCTGCATTGCAGGCAGATTCTTTACCGTCTCAGCCACCAGGGAAGCCCCAGTACCTAAGAGGCACAAGCAACTGTGACATTTTAATTATTTCAGATTTAAAACATGCTCTCCTCTGCCTGCCTCCAAAATAATTTGAAAGTCTACAGAATTCACCACTAATGTGTATGAATTAATTCATAATCAGATGAAAACTTGTGAGCAGGGTACCAGCAGGCCCCACATGTGAGGTGATGGCCACAAGTGAGCGTGGAGCACGCCTCCACACAGCACACAGCTGAGGTCCCACCCACACCTTCCACACTGTGGTCTTGACAGCTGGGACACCTGGCCAAGCAGTGGTGACCCAGCCAAGAGACGGGGGGTGGCATCCACCTGGGCACCCAGCCACTCACATGCTGACTCTGTCACTGGAGAGGAAGAAGAACAGAGACATCTTGCCTTTTTTTAATTTTAAAAAGAATTTTAAAACCACTGCAATGATGTAAAGTAATTAGCCTCCAACTAATAAAAATAAATGGAAAAAAAAAGAATTTTAAATCAATAACCATTGCACATGGTCCAAAATGTAAAAGAGTCAAACCAACGTGTAGAGAAGACTCCATCTCAGCCTGGCCCCCAGAACCCTCCTAGAGGCAACCATCTTCATCAGATTCCTAGGGATCCTATTTTTTACATGAACTACAACTTTTACTTTGTTACATAAAGGATAGCATACTGTGGTAGTGGTTTAGGTGCTAAGTCATGTCTGACTCTTTGTGACCCCGTGGACTGTAGCCCACCAGGCTCCTCTGTCCATGGGATTTCCCAGACAAGAATACTGGAGTGGGTGGCCATATCCTCCTCCAGGGAGCATACTGTACTACTTTTTATATAACTAATTGCAGAATATTAGACGTTTGGGTTGTGTCCCATCTTTGGCAAATGCAGATGATGTTACCTAAATGTCCTTATAGGTGCACATGGCCTATACATGTGTAAGAATTTCTGTAGATGAATTGTCAGACGCCAAGTTCCCAGGTAAAGGGGATAAATGAACTTACAGTTTCGATATATGTTGCAAAATTACTGTCCACCAAAACTGTACTATTCTACAAATTACTACAATGAATAAAAGTGCCTGTTTTCAAACATCTTTTTGAATATAGCATGTGATTAAAGTTAGACCATCTGAAAGATGAAAATGATATCTTGGTGTAAATGTGAATTGCATTTCTCTTTCCATGAATGGTGCTGAGTGTTTCTTCCAGTGCTCAGGGCCACTGGTATTCCCATTCCTGTGTCTTGTCAGTTCACCTCCTTTGCCCCCTTTTTCTCTATTTTGACCCTATGATTATAGCCCACCAGGCTTTTCTGTCATTGGAATTTTCCAGGCAAGAATACCAGAGTGGGTTGCCAGGGGAAGATTCAGGGGATCTTCCCAAGCCAGGGATTGAACTCCCATCTCTTATATCTTCTGCATTGCCTGGCAGATTCTTTACCACAGAGCCACCAGGGAAGCCCTTCTCTGTTTGACTGTTGGTCATTTATTGATTTAGAAGAGTATTTATGTATTAGGGATATTTGCACTTTTTCAATAGTGTTTATCAGTTTGATGTTTGCATTTTAAGTATGTCTGTGGTAGGTTTGGCCATGCAGAGAAAACTTGATTTTTATGTAGTTATTTTCATCAAATTTTCTCTTTTCAGTTTTGTAATTTGTGTTTATGCTCATAGAAGTATTCCTCCCTCTGAAGTGAAAAATTGTTTTCTTTCAGTACTTTTATACTTTAATGTTTTTACATGTAACTATTTGATCTATGTGGGCTTCCCAGGTAGCTCAGTGGTAAAGAATCCACCTGCCAAGGAAGGAGATGCAGGTTTGATCCCTGGGTTGAGAAGATCTCCTGGAAAAGGAAATGGCAACCCACTCGAGTATTCTTGCCTGGAAAATCCCCTGGACAGAGAAGGCTGGCAGGTCACAGTTCATGAGGTCCCGCCAAAAGTCAGACATACTTAGTGACTAAACAACAACAGCATTTGATCTGTGTAGCTTTTAGTTGGATATGTAATTATTGTGTGGATTCATGCTGTACTGAACGCTAGATCATGTGCCCAACACACAGCAAGTTCAACCCAAAATGTCAGAATTTGGAGCACAGAACGATTCATAACAGGGCCAGGCAAAGAAAACAGCTGGCTCATGTCCAAAAAACCCAAACTCCCTGAAGGGTTTCAGCAAAGAACTGCTAAAGGCCAGATGAGGGCAGGGCATGGTAGATTGTTGCCAACCTCCTGGTACAGGAATCCTTTGTTCTCGCAGCTGTCCTTGTAGGTCAGGTCATGATGTTCCTATAAACCTCAACAACTCAAATGTTATTCTCTATTTTGCAACTTTTTATCTCTATGTGAATGGAAAAGTGTTATACCCTTAAAGGTCAGAGCTTTAAGAAAGGGCTATCCTGTATATTTCAGGCTGTGGGCAACATTCTTAACTCAAAGCAAAGGCTATAGAACACAAAGGTTAAAGTAAAAGACACAGATTAAATGAGTCATATTTGTTCTTCCCTCTTACAACCTTTTTTCTCCAGGTGGCTGCCCTGTACTTCCAATACTATTCCTGAATCGCCCACTTTCCCCACTGGCTTTGCTTGCCTTTGGCTTTCTCTGGACTTCCCACTCTGAGGAACAGAGATGCTTCTAAGTGAGCAACAGGCTCAGAAGCGCAGAGCAGGACTTACCCTCAAAGGCCATCCCTTTTAATCTATGGTTTAAAATTCAAAGAAGGTGCTCCTTGCTTTAAAGAAGACAGCCTTTCCTGTTTGTCTGCCTCGTCATGCTGTCACCTGCTAGGCCTTCCTCCACCGCTGCCCTCTCCCAGAGGCCCGCCCCCAGGGTTCGATGGTGAGCATTCATGCTGCTGGCCCTCTGTGCAGAGCTCAGGACTGGCCAGACTCCATGACGTCAGCAGGAATGGGTCTTAGTCACCCGGCTGCTCTGCTTTGTCTCACTCTTAGCCTCCCTACCCCCAAAGGTCCCATGAATTGGCTGCCAGCAGTCCAGCCCACAGCCTGATGTGGGCTTAGCAGCCCAGGTAGCAGATGTTGAGGAATGTTGGTGGCGGACCCAGCTGCCCACCCTGGACTGATCACTGGGGCTGGATCTTGGAATGTACTGGTATCAGTTCCAGGTCACATGTTCAAATTTTGAATCAGGCAACCCATCTAAATAATGTGGGACTTTTTACTTGCTAAGTTGTGTCTGACTCTTCCAAGTCCATGGACTGCAGCCCACCAGGCTCCTCTGTCCATGGGATAAATTAAAACTAGCTGACCCAGTTGACCCAGTTGAGAGATTCCCTTCTTCCTCCTTTGACACATGAATGTGAAAGCAGGAGCCCCTGCAGCTGTCTTGTGACCTTGAGGGCAGAAACTGGTACTATGGTGGTGGAGCAGAAGGACAAGAAGAAACAGGCCTTCTGTGGGTATATCTAATTAGGGGCCCAGACATTTTTATTTGTTTATTTTAAATTGAAATATAGTTGATTTACAATGATTCAGATGTACAGCAAAGTGATTCAGCTATCTTTTCCAGATGCTTTTCCATTGCAGGTTATTACAAGGTATTGAATATAGTTCCCTGTCCTATATAGTAGGCCCTTATTGCTTATCTATTTTACATATAGTCATGTATATCTGTTAATCCCAAGTTCCTAATTTATCCCTCCTCCCTTCCTCTTTGATAACCATAAATTTATTTTCTATGTCTGTAAGTTTATTTCTGTTTTGTAAATAAGTTCATTTGTATAATTTTTTAGATTCTGCATATGAATGATATCAAATGATATTTGTCTTTGACCTACTTCACTTAGTATGACAATCTCTAGATATATCTATGTTGCTGCAATTGGCAAAATTTCATTCTTTTTTATGAATGATTAGTATTCCATTGTATATATGTACCATGTCTTCTTTATCCATTCATCCATTGATGGACACTTAGGTTGCTTCCATGTCTCGGCTACTGTAAATAGTATGGCTACATACAGTGAAGGGCATGTATCTTTTTGAATTAGAGTTTTCTCCAGATATATGTCCAGGAATGGGATTGATGGTTTACATGGTAACTCTATTTTTAGTTTTCTAAGGAACCTCCAGAGGCTCCCCTGGTGTCTCAGTCAGTAAAGAATCCGCCTACAATGCAAGAGACCTGTGTTTGATCTCTGGGTTGGGAAGATCTCCTGGAGAAGGAAATGGCAAACAACTCCAATATTCTTGCCTGGAAAATCCCATGGACAGCAGAGCCTGGTGGGCTGCAGTCTGTGGAATTGTAAGAGTTGGACACAACTTAGCAAGTAAACCACCAACATACTGTTTTCCATAGTGGTCACCAATTTACATTTCCAGCAACAGTAGAGGAGTGTTCTCTTTTCTTCACAACCTCACCAACATTTATTATTTGTAAACTTTTTAATGATGACCATTCTGACTGGTGTGAGGTGGTTCATAATTGTAGGTTTGATCTACATTTCTCTAATAGTGATGTTGAACATGTTTTCTTGTGTCTTTTGGCCATCAATACATTTTCTTTGGAGAAACCTTGGATGGAGAATGGATTGCAGGTGCCATAATTGCTTGCCTCCAATATTTACCATGACCGTTGTGGTCAGTGATGTATATTCCTTGTTGATGATTAATTGACTCCCACTTGGAAATCTATGATGCAGCCTCCACTCCTGAGGTTAGATCTGATCTGTATCATTGGATTACCTTCTTCTTTTTAACCCAATTTCTACAGATCTAATCTACTAAGGAACTGTTTGAATTATACTCAACTGATAAAGTGACTTCTGGTCTAGTTTTATCTCTGCTACCAGATGTCACAGAGCAGCAGGGTGGAAGAAATGAATCCAACCTTCATTCCTACATGAAATAGACGTTTCCTGAGAATGATGTTAGTCACTCCCTCCGGCATACCATAGTCTGTTGATAATTACACTGGCCATCCTCTTTGTCCCATAATTAATAATTTTATGGGTTTCCATCTTAAAGAGAAAAAAAATGATCAAATCCAAATCCCCAGAAGATGTGGGTCCATACCTGCTCTCTTGGGCCAAGATGCAACTCTTCTCCAAGGGCCCAAGTATGGTTTCAAGCCCCTTAGGACTCAGACTCCTAATCTCCCTGGGACGGCCAGTCATTGAGAGGCAAGTGACATGCTGTCCCAGAGGGCAAAACTGGGGCACAGGGCCTCCCTGGGGGCTCAGTGGTAAAGAATCTGCCTGCCAGTGCAGGGGACTGGCCCGGGAAGATCCCATATGCCACGGAGCAGCCCAGCCCATGCTCCAGAGCTGGGGAACTGCAGCTGCTGAAGCCCGAGCGCCTAGAGGCTGTGCTCTGCAACCAGAGGGGCCAGTGCAATGGGAGGCCTGCGCACTGCAACGAGAGAGGATCCCCGGCTCTCAACCACCGGAGAAAGCCTGCGCAGGAGAGAGGAAAAGCCCAGTGCAGCCAAAGATAGACAATATAACAGAAATAAAGAAAAGCAGGGCACACCCTGGCGTGATATCCCTCTAATCATGCAGGCAGGTGTTACAGCCCCACACGACCTTCTGTCTTCCAGACTGCACATCGTCTCCAGCTGTTTCACGTCATTCAAGGTTTCCAGCAATCTAAACTCACCAGTTGACATTGTCAGGGCACAATATGCGACGTTTTGTTTCATTATAACTTTGATTTCAATACCATCTTTGCCCTTATGACTTTTGTCTTTACTTTTAAAAAGGTCACCTATAAAGCTCATTACCTAGAGATGACTACGAAAAAGAAGAAACAAAATATTAACTATTTTTTTCTGTATATATAAAGTATATATGTATTTTACTTTACAATATTGGGATCACAGTATCTCCGGCAGTTTTCATTAGGAAATAGTCTTGTTTAATATGCTTAATGTCTGTGCAATAGCTCACCTTACAAATGTATCGTGATTTATTTAGCCATACCCTGCTGACTTGCCTCTAATTAGAAAAAAAATTCCTTGAAGTGTCACCTCTGGGTGAGAGTAATCTCAGTCAATCTTCTTGACAACCCTGTCAGACAGGAATTATGATTATTTCAGTTTATAGCTTGGAAGGCTAAGTAAACTACTTAAAGACACTCAGCCAGTTGAGTGCTGCGGGGAGAACCTAATTAGCACCCTTGTGTATGATGGTGCTGATTTAGTTGCTAACTCATGTCCCACTCTTTTGACCCCATGGACAGTAACCCTCCAGGCTCCTCTGTCCATTTATCTCCCAAGCAAGAACTGGAGTGGGTTGCCCTTTCCTCCTCCAGGAGATCATCTCTACCCAGGGATCAAATCCGAGTCTCCTGCATTGCACAGCGACTCTTCACCACTGAACCACCAGATAAGTCTACCCTTGTATATACTGTCATCTATTTTTGCCGTCTTGAAAGAGAAATGTTACCTTACTGGTTTTATTTGCACTTATTTGGTTGTTGGCAAGTCTGAGCGTCTTTTAAGTTCTCATAGATCATTGGCATTTAGTTTCCTTTAATATCTTTGCTTTTATTTTTTTGTCAGTTTTTCTGTTAGTCTTATACTTTGCACACACATGGGCTTCTCAGGTGGCTCAGTGGTAAAAGATATGCCTGCCAGTGCAGGAGACATGGATTTGATCCCTGGAGAAGGAAATGGCAACCCACTCCAGTATTCTTGCTTGGGAAGTCCCACGGACAGAGGAGCCTGCCAAGCTCCAGTCCATGGAGTTGCACAGAACTGGACAACACTTAGCAGCTGAGCACTCACACATGCGTGTGTATACATATACATACACACACGGTTACCCACTATCTGATATATATGTTCCCGGTTATTCTCTTGTCTTTTAATTTTATTATGTGATTTAAGACCTGAAGTTTTAAAATATTTATGTCTACCAATATTTTCCTTTATGATCATTCCCAGGAATTTTATCTTTAGGGTGTTTTCATGCCTCCCAGATGCAGATAAATATTT